GTTTGCAGAACATTTAGACAATTTTTGTATCTTGGGTTAAGAAAATAAAAACAATTTACGAACACAAGAAAAATCGATTAATCGCAGTACCTTTTCACTCGTCTTTTAGGAAACCTATATAAATGAAGGACTGCTGACACAAAATTTAATATATATATATATATATATATATATATATATATATATATATATATATATAAAAGATAAAATGAAAACTTATCTTAACCGTTCCTCTGGGAGACATTCTCATAATATATATATATATATATATATATATATATATATATATATATATATATATATATATATATATAATTATTTATTTAGAAACTATAATAAAGATATGTTATAAAATCACTACAAAAATAGCGGTTTCGTTTCAACACATCCGGTGTCTTATGAAATCATGATGTTGAATGTAAAATAAATGATTTTAAAAGCTTCAAATTAATTAACGATCCTTCGCCAGTGAAAAACGCTGTTACATAAGCTAGAATGACCAATCAAAACACAAGTAGATGTTAAAGTTGGGGTTATACGAAAATAGAATTTATTCTAACCAATATGTATTAAATTATATGATAAAATTTGATATTAAAATTAAAAGTAAAAATTTAACATTTTTAAAATCTAAATTTAATCTCTATTAAGTTTAAAATTAAAAAAAAATACTGAGGAGAAAAGAAAAAATACATATATTATTCAATTTATTTCTTCATTGAAATTACGTTAGAATAGACGCTAAAATCAGCTGGTCTTCCCGACAAAATGTATACATTTTAATCCCGAGTGTGTGAGTGGGGTGCTAACATCTCGCATAAAACAATACAAACACATTCAGATTATAATACATAAGCACCCAGGCATATTTAGATATATATACACACAAAAAAGTGACGAGACAGGAAACATCTCCACGGCATCTTTATAAAAAAAAAAATAAATAAACAAAAAACATACAAACGTAAATTAACCTATATAGACATATACATGCACTCTGTGTGGTCATCCACACACACACACACACACATATATATATATATACATATATATATATATATATATATATATATATATATATATATTCAAATACACATATATACATATATTATATACACACATAAAACAGAATATATATACACAGAAACCTACATATATTCTAACAACATTATCTTATTGCCGATAAAATATAGTAAAAGTTCATAATAATACAATCATATACTTGGGTATATATATATATATATATATATATATATATATATATATATATATATATATATACAACACACATGCACTACACACACAAACACACATATATGTGTGTGTTTGTATATAGTATGAACTGCTAATATATCAACTTAAATTTGGTTAGCACCATTTTTTTCCTTTTTACCGGAACTGCGCTTGATGCTCTGTCACACGTCGAGTCTGCTGCTCAACAAAATATATTGTTATTTAACATCTGTCCGACAAATAAAAACATGGCTCAAAGGCATAACCAATTAGACTTAGTCGCCTTTCAATTTTCTCTTGCTATGATCATTCGTTGTATATGTGAACATTTTCCGACACAGTCGAAGAGGGAAGTCATATTGGAATTGAAATATATTAAATGGTACATTTCTGCTGTCCAGACAGGTTTCTGTCTGTGCACATAGGCATCTGATAAGGACAGTTCTACGAATTCCCCTACTTGCATTTCTATTCTAAAATGTCGTCTGTATTTTCAGAAATGTTGCAAGTCAATTTTTTGTACATTCGATGCGGTGTAATGGCTTTGGGGACATTCAAAATGGCGGAATAATCAGCGAGCGTGTCTTGCGAGATTAAGTACAACTGAATAGCGAGTTCGATGCTCACTGGGTGCCCCATACTTTTGGCCTTGTGTCACAGCAAAGTTACGATTAGTAAATCACCATATTCGCTGTCGTATGTAAAAAATTCAAGCGAATGTCAAATCGCTTGCATTGTCATCGTCCAAATAAATTATTTCTCCAAATTATTTCTCCAAACTATTTCTTTTGAGAAACATTCAGCTTAAGGAGAACGGGATTTTCACTACATTGATTTTAACTTTTTTTTTTTTTTTTTTTTTACAGTGAGGTTTAACCAGTACAAGGCTCGGGAGCCACTCGAGGTAGAGTGTTACATAATAAGTGGCACAATTGATGTGGAGAAGAGAACAAGTTATCCCACGATTGAAATTGGATAAGATTGTATTGATCGGGAAATCATCCACTTGGGAGTAGGTTTCGAAAAAAAACCGGTTCGCAGGAAGATGTTTCTCGAGTGTAACTTACTTCTCACAGATGAAATACTGTAGAAATATGGGGTGGTTCTCTGCAATGTGCATAGCATGACGGGTCTTAGTCATGAAGGTTAAAACTAGTGGAACTAACGAATGTAGCTCGTCTGAGCGCTCTCAGTGGAAATAGAGATAGATCAGCGATAGACTTGTGACGTTTCGTCTGTGACAATGCGGTTGCGAGGTGAAAAGACGTGGAGAAGCATTTGGACTCGAAACTGGTAAGTGAGGGTTCCGCAGCTCCTGCACGAATATGACTGCATTCCATTTTAGTACTGACTAGCAGTAGAGCCCGGCGTTGCCCGGGAATGTAACAGTAAGAGATAGATCAGGTATCGACCATCATAAAGACTGAAAAATAAAATTGACAACGATTATTGTTTAAGGTTGACGGACACGCATGTCTTAGTTTTTTTTTTTTTTTACGAATTGGTCAAACCCAAACTGAAACAAAAACATTGTTTTCAATCGTTATGAGTCTACCGATTGAATAGAATTTTATTATAAGCAATTGTCTTGTAAATGGAATTTTTAAAGCATTCTGAATGTAAAAATAAAGAAAAAAGTGTGCAAGACAATAAGAAACACTATTGCCAAAAAAAAGTGAAGTTTTGTTGAAATCGGTTGAAAATGGAAATCCGATCCCATATATAAACGAACACACACACACATTATACACACACACAACCTGAGTTTTTATAATAAGTATAACTCGATATGAGTTGTCCCCCTTGATTCTGGCGACAGTGATGCCTCTTAATCGTGTTTTCAAATTGATTTTGTGCAAAACAATTATATTTTTCCAATTTTTGGCGCTGTCAGAACCACATAAACGTAATTTTACGTAGTCCAGTGATTTTTTGTTGAAATCGGTTGAAAAATGTTGGAAATCGATCCAATATATAAACGTAGACACACACACACACACACACACACAACCTGGTTTTTATAATAAATATGATTTAGCTCTTGTAAAGGTAGATGATAGCCCGAGGCGTTTAGTACCTTCTGGAGCGGTGTATGAAACCGACTTTTTTCTACGACTTTAACGACAAACCAGGAGGTTCTGGGGAGCGTGGACCCACCTCTTAACCGTTGTTGTTCCAAAGTGCACCCTAACCCAGGATGGTAGCACCTGTTAGGGTCCCAAATATGGGGAAATATTTAACCCCAATTATAGGGTCAAAAAACGATGAATATATAAAAATATTTTTTTACAATAAAATACCATCAATTAATTTTATATAACATTTTTAACAATATTTATCTATATCTATAAAACAGAGGATATCTGTGTGTCTGTGTGTGTGATATTTTTCACTGGAGATCCATCCAACCGATTTTGAGCAAACTTGGCACATACATTGTACAACATAAGAGATAGGTTCTTAAAGTAAAAAAAAATCGATAATATTTAAAAATCAATAATCGATAAAGCCGTTCAAAATCGAGAAATTCAACTTTTTTCCTCCTATTTTGTTCAAACTCGGTGTGTAGGTTACTTGCATCATGACTAGCTCAACGATCGCCCATTTTTGTTTCTACGCCACTGCGTCTAGCGAAAACCCACGAAAAAGGAAAAATCGATTTCAACACAAATCGATTTCAACCCCAAATTTAAGCTAAAAGCTCCCTCAATTTTCAAGCAATCTAATACAAACTTCACTCAAGTGTAGCCAAGAATAAGTTTAACAGTGATTTAACTTGATATGATACATAGTAAAAACTGGTATAAATAGCGAAATATGGCGATTTTTACTGGTTTCTTATTTTTCATTGATCTTTCAGTTACTTTATAAATATATCCTCTTTTACATCCCTGTTTGCACACTGGCAAATTGAATTTCAAAAACTCCAAAATAATTTTGGTCTAACGTGGGTCTTCATGTTGCCTGTTTTACCATTTCATGTCCTCGGATAATTTCGATTGAATAAATACAGACTAACTTCTGCTATATCAGTAACTGCATTAACTCATTTTTTAATGAATGTACTAAAAGTAATTGAATATAGGCTATTTACGTCTAAACATGATGTTGTTTTTGCTCCATTCTAATTGAACACTTTTTTCTGATCGACCAGCCTGGTATAGCAGCTGGTGTAAAATAAAATGCGTGTTGGACCGAGAACCGAACGTTAGATGGCTTGGGTCTTAGATTGCTGGCTGTTAACAACTGCCATCTGGGACCATTTTAAAGACTTTATTTTTCTAAAACTCTTCCATGATTCCATAGCTAGAATTTGTTCATTAACCCTTCACGCCACACTTTGTCAAAAGCCTTTTAATAACTAATGCGATCGTCCTGTTAAGAGCCTTGCCGATTGTGAGTAAGGCAGTTCGGATATCAGCAGTGGATTAAGCCGATTGATTAGAACTTTAAAATGTTTGCTCTAGTCTGAATCAGAAAATTTTTTTTTTATTTATATAAACCAATTTTAATAATTACTGAAAATATTTTTGGAAGTTCTGTTTGCATTTGCCTATCATCCAGTTCACTCCCCCAATCTTTTTGAACAGGACTAGGTATATTCCTTGTTTAGGATTGGTTCTTTTAAAGTCTTTTTCATTCTCTTTTCATTCCCAGTAGCCCCTTATGATAGTGGCATCATTGCCTTGCTTGGGTGAATTGTTTTAAAACAAAACAAAAAGTTATTTTCTGCATCCAAATCAATATCAAAAATAATAAATACTTACTCAGAGTATAAATATTTTTACTGGTATTTCAGGAGGTGGACCTAAAACAAAAAGTATATGTGTGTGTATATATATATATATATATATATATATATAAAGTCTATTAACTTGATTAAGACAAAAATGTGTAAAGATCAACTTGCATTTTATTAAAATATAAAATTATTTTTTTTAGCTGCAATGAACTTTGCTTCTGGGAAAAGAAAATCAGTTATGATATGAACAATTAAATATTTGGATAGCAAGCATAATTACCATAAGGCTATTGGATTTACTAAGATTAATCTGGCAAGTGCTTTCCTAGAAAATAATTATATTTTTCTAATGATATTGTTCACTCTGTTAGAAATATTGGTAGAAAAAAATGTTACATCCACAGTTAATTATATTTTTTAACTATCATCCTTTTTACAGCTAATCCCAAACCCCACAAAATATCCAACCAAAAATTTATTGCTGAATTCATCTGAATTAAAGGCGGCTATTATCTCCATTTTTTTTTTTTATCTTTTTTTTAAACTAATTTTGCTAGTCAATATTCCATGGCAATTAACAATACAAAGTTTATCTTTATTCTGGAATTTTTCTTAGAGTCAGAAAAATTTAAACTGGTACAGACCACCTTGATTAAGGTTTTAAAATTTTTCAATTAATAAAATTAGCAATACAAGTCATGCATTGTTTGACATGACATACCAAGTTGTAGTGAAGAAAATTATACTCACCCGACAGCATTTTCTTAAAGAAAAAAATCTGCTTACTTTTATTTGGTTCAACCTCAGAATCTGATTGATCAGTATCACTGTCACTTGAAAAATCACTGCCACTTGATGAAGAAGAACCACTGCTGCTGTCACTCATGTTGCCAGTTTCCAGGCCACTCACTGGTTGACTGGTTACATTTGACAGACCATTTAATCCATCTGTCATAAAACATTAAAAATATAAAATTTGTTAATATTTCATTTCAGCTAACCTAATAAAACATATTTTCAACTACAGCATATCTAATAAGCAAAACATCCATACTTCTAAACATTTATTCAAATAAAGATTTAAACACACACAATGGTATGAAAAAACAACAATTCTCCTCATCTAACAGGGATATAGTTAAGTAAAAAATTCAAATGACTCACTTACCTCTGTTGTCTTGCTCAAGAGGAGTCAAGGCTGGAGAACATTCCTTGATTGATGGTGGGCTAAACTGTGTCAATTTGCCACCTTTAGGAGGAGATGTCTTTTTACCTGTGTCTACAGGTGTAACAGGTCGAATTGAATGACGACTGGAGCCTTCAGCTCTACAAAAAAAAAAAAAAAAAAATTAAAATAATGAAATCACATACTAAATCAATCTGACAAATAATAACTCAAAAGCAAATCTGGTTTCTTGGAAAAATAAAAATAAATTGACAGCAGAAACTCATCTGACCTGGTTTTTTTAACCTGAATTGTGTTTGACAATTTTTCCAGAGTTACAGTTCCAGTTGGTTTGTCAATGATTAACACGCATTCTTTAGGGCATGGACGCTTGTTGCCTTTATAAACTGTATGTGTAGTGCCAGAGCCCTAAAATATTAAATATAGAAAATAAAATGAAAATTTGGGGAGAGAGAGGAAGGTAAATTTTTCCAAATATGTAAACAATGATTCAACTCTACACTTTTTATCATTTAAAAAAAAAAAAAAAAAAAAAAAAAAAAGCAGAATTTCAAATTAAAATTATATTAAAACAAAAAGATACAGTATTAGTTTGCAAATGAATGAACAATGTAATTGCAGATGGATAATTAGAAATTAACCAGTTCACACATTGTCTCCATTTCAAGAATTTATTTTGCTAAGGTTAGGGCAAAATGTTTCTGGACAGTATTGCATGTTTTCATGAACTGCCATTTAGTAAATGCAGACATTGCTTCATCAGTTACTTCCTTGAGGTAGTATAATTTGTACTCCTGCTGGTGATGAAGCCATGATTGTTTCAAATGTTTTGGCCATCCGATGTTTCACAGAAGCCTTCACGAAAGCCTCACCATTCCTTGATTGGATATAGTGGTGTGCTGTATGGGGCACTGCAGATAATAGTGGCACTGATGAATTCCTACACTTGAATTATCTTCTCCAAATCCACATGAACATGTGCATTGTTGCAAATAATAACTTTATCATTTTGGCTGAAATACTTCTGAACAGTTTTCTAAACTATTTGTAGTATTTATCCTTTGTGAATGATCCTCTGCCAGCAGACCAGAGGCTTATTTAATTGATTGTTCCAGTGAGGTGTGTTTATTACTCTGGCTTGGGATGAAAGCTACTTTCACATAACATCTGCTCTCTTTCTTGGATCTTCCCTGCAAACACTATAAAAACAAATTGAAGATCATTTCATTCAAGTTGACTTCATCATCAATTGTATATATGGTACTCATTAAATTCTGTTGCTTAGCAAGTTCATGGTGACAAGGTTCTGAAAAGGTCTTCTAAACAATATACCATTGCCCTTCTAGTTTGTTGTGGATTGTGCTCTTGAGTAGCAAGTCTCCTTTTAACTTGTATTAAGCTTAAAAACAGATCATCACTTGACAAATCCAACATTTGGTCTAATAAGATAACTTTTTTGAATCAATTTCCACCCCAAGGCTTAATTGTCATAATTGTAGTCTGAACACTTCTGTATCCAGCTATAGGCTTGTTTGTGATGCAACCCTATTAGTAATAGGCACTTTTTCTCAACAAGTTCAGGATATTTAAAAAAATTAAAAATGGTAAAGTTTTGTGTGTGTGTGTGTGTGTGTATATATATATATATATATATATATATATATATATATATAAAAACTGCAAAATGGTTTGAATTTGAATATTTTTTCTAATCAAAAGCAATATCTAACGTCAGCTAGATAGCATAAAATAGTTTCTCAATTGTACAATATACAAAATCATGCAAATCAAAATGATTAACTGTACATTAATTTGATTTGCAAAAAAATTACTAGTGGAAGGAAAGCTGAAAAAAAAAAAAAAAAAAAAAAATTACATTTTATTTACAAAATAAGCAATTAGAGATATTCAGTTTTGAACCTGATTACTCATTTCTAGAGGTTGCATAAAAAAAAAAAAAAAATCAATCAATTTTAACACTCAATATACTTGCATATAATTTTTTTTTAGAAATTCTTTCTGTATTTATTTCATCAGTAATTAAATACATTTCTTAAAAGATTTCCAAAATTATTAACAGATGCGTAATAAAATTTAGAAAAACATTATTTTGTAAAATGTAAATGTCCTCTGAATTTTATAGAATCATTATTTTTAAAGATGATTCCATAAAAAAAATATAATTGAAAAGATGAATGCAATCTCATTAGAAATATTTGTGTGTGTGTATATATATATATATATATATATATATATATATATATATATATATATATAAAAAAAAGAAGAGAGGTGCACAAACATTTTTGGTTGTAATTTGATTTATTTAGAAAAAATATTATGCTTTGTTTTACATAATTTTATGACACGTGTTTCTGGTCTCGCGACCGTCTTCAGGTAAAAGCGGAGATTTCCACATTAAAAATAATTAATTTTTTCCTTATGTTAAATATTCTCGATATGAGACATTCTCTGTTTTTGTGTTAGTAATCCGAATTTCTTTCTTGAATTGGCAATGAAGAGTTCTGCGCAAAGGGTCATAAAACAATTAAGGTTGGTCCAGCAAAATGATGAATTACTTATCGGCATTTTATCTTTTAATGTTTTACTGACCCCTATGTGTTCTTGGATCTGTTTCCATTTTTGTGTTTTTCTGGCAGCATGCATGTATATATGCGTGCATATATTTCCCCTCCATACATATGCTGTCTTAGTACGAGGAATTAGTAAACTCATTTGTACATATACATGCATACACACACATACGCACATACACACCATCCCACCACAAGGAATCAGTACATACACACACATACACACATACTTCCCAAGCTACATGGAACCAGTATACGCACGAGACGATATCCATTTCCTTAGCTGCATACCACAAAAGGTAGATCCGGGAACGCTTATAGCAACTTTTGACATCAGTAGCCTATACAGTAACATACCCCATGAACTAGGAAAAAAAGCGATCTCATTCTGGATTGAAAAACATCCAGAAATACTACATCCGAGATTCACTAAAGAGTTCATTATCGATAGTATAGACCTAATTCTAAACAATAACACCTTTGAATTTGACAACAAAAACTATATCCAAACCCTAGGTACTGCGATGGGAACAAAAATGGCACCAACATATGCCACCCTAACATTAGCTTACCTAGAAAAAAACCTCTATGAAAAGATAGAACAAATATATGGGGCAAATATAAAAACCCAATTCACTAAATTTTGGAAAAGATACTTAGATGATTGCTTCATCTTTTGGAAATCTTCATGCGGTGATATTAACCAATTCCATACACTACTTCAAAACTTACACCTAAAAATCAAATTCATGCAAGAATTTTAACGAATTACCATTTTTAGATATACTCATTAGAAATAAAAACAACCACATAATCACAAATATCTACCACAAAACCCACAGACACCCAACAATACCTTCATTTCAAGAGCCATCACCCAAAAAGCTGCCTAAAATCCATCCCCCTATTCCCTAGCACGTAGAATTTGTACAATAGTGACTGATAAACATCTCCGAAAAAATCCGCTTAGAAGAACTACATAAAACTCTCAAAAACGAGGCTACCCCACAACACTAATAAACAAAAGGTATTGAACTTCGCGAAAGAAATTCCTCTAGACCAACTTAGAAATAAAAAGAAACGTAACGTCGAACAAACTCTAGCATATGTCTCAACATACAACAAAAAACAATCCAGAAATATTCACAGAAATCACAAAAATCTAGATTTACTTAGCAAGAATAATAAACTGAATAATATACTAAAAAACAACCAAAATAATTAAAAGCAAACGCCAATCTAGAAACCTAAAACACATATTAACCTCATCTAAATTTAACCAACACACAATACAGGGATTCAAAAATGCAACAAAAAAAAGATGTGGGGTTTGTGACATTATTATAGAAGGAAATTCCTGCACTTTTGAAAACCCAAAAAAAACATTCACAATAAATAAAAACTTAAACTGCAACTCCAAAAATGTAATTTATGCACTTAAATGCACAAAATGTAAGAAGTCATATATAGGCATCAGCCAACAACTGAACAACAGGGTCTCCCTACACAAAAGCAATATAAAATTGACAGACAACAGAAACTTTTTGTATCACAACACATTTTCAAATGTAACCAGGGTAAATTTAATATCATGCCGATATATCAAACAGATAATTACTCGTATCTACAAATACAGGAAAAAAACTTTATAAACAAATTTAAACCCGAACTAAATAGATCATAACCCCACACACAAAAACACACAACATGCACACAGGGTGACCAAATACAATGATCAAATCACTCACATACATGAACACACGCTCATAGACGGGAGACACAGGAGGATATATATGCATACATACATTTATATATGTATATGCGGATGTTGACAACTTAAGAAGTGTGTGTGTGTGTGTGTGTGTGTGTGAGCATGTGTGTGTATGTGTGTGTGTGTGTGTGTGAAGACTGGTTCCATGAAGCTTGTATGTGTGTATATGTGTGTACTGATTACTTGTGGTGGGATGGTGTGTATGTGCATATGTGTGTGTATGCGTGTATAAGTACAAATAAGTTTACTAATTCCTCGTAAAAGACAGCATGGAAATATACACGCATATATACACGCATGCTGACAGGAACACACAAAAATAGAAACAGATCCAAGAACACATAGGGGTCAGTAAAACATTAAAAGATTAAATGCCGATAACTATCATCATTTGGAGACCAACCTTAATTGTTTTATGACCCTTCACGCAGAACTCTTCATTGACAATTCAAGAAAGAAAATAGGATTACCAACACACAAACAGAATGTCTCATATCGAGAATATTCCACATTGAACATGAGGAAAAAATTAATTATTTTAATAATATGTAAAAATCTCCTTTTACCTGAAGACGGTTGAGACCAGACCAGAAACACGTGTCGTAAAATTATGTAAAACAAAGTATAATATTTTTTCTCAATAAATCACATTACAACCAAAAACGTTTTGCACCCTTCTTCTTTTTAATATACATATATATATATATATATATATATATATATATATATATATATATATATATATATATTATATAATATGAACTATATGCATGTGAACATGGTGCTCGATGGATAAATTGTCGCTTAAATTAAGAAACGATGAAAATAACACTGATATCTCTTTTTAACTGATATTTTTAACAAAAATATCTTCAAATAATAAAAGTAAATTTAATCAATAAAATCGCCATTGGCTTTTAACGTATGGTCAAAGACGACTTCGCGCGTCCTGGGTAAGAGTTAAACTACATTCGCGTCCTGGGTAAGATTTTTTTACGTCCAAAACAAGGCCTCTGAAATGGAATTTTTGAGGATGGAAAAACCTCTTAATTGCTGGTGAAAATGGTGTAAGACACTGGACCGGTGGCGCTAAAAAAATAGTTAACTGGGACCAGCAATAGTTTTTTGAAAAAAAATATTATTACCAGCAATGCAATTTTGAAGGAAATATATTACCAGAAACAGATTTTTAACAAAACAAGATATTACCAGCAATAATTTTTTTTGTCAGCATTAAATAAGCCATTGAGGTTGATATGCCGTAAAACAAAATAAACCAAACCAAACCAGACGACTTCGAAATCTCCTGCAAATCTTCTGATTGGTTCCTTGCTTACGTTGGCAAATGCTGCCATAATTCTTGCATTGAGATCATCTTTTGTGACACAAGGAATGTTTTTATTCTCTCTCTCAAGTGCGCCACACGCATCATAATTAAGGGGGTTGCAGTCTAGGGAGTTACGTAGCCATGCGTAAGGGGTGATCTGGTCGCAGAAATTTTCTGACAGCG